CCCCCTCACTCAGCAGCGGTTCCCTCGCGCGCTGCATCCTCTCAGCCGTTTGATTCAACGCCAGCTCTGCCCCGCACGCCACCGACTCAGCCGCTCGTGCAAAATTGTGCAACATATTGGTGCAAGGCCCCTGCACCGCCATGCTCAGCGCCAGCAGCAGCAGCAGGATTTTACCTTCCCCTGCGCAACGCAAAGGCATGAAGCCCCCTCCCCATCTCCAGCGGGTTGGGGGGGAAGAAAAAATGGGGAGGGGGAAGGAGAGGGTGGGAGAGGTGGGAGAGTTGTGTTTTCTTACTGGTGAAAACGTGGGGCAACAGGAGGGGATGGAGAGGGTGGGAGAAGTGGGGGTGAACCTGACCCCATCCCAGTTGTGTTTTTCTTGCTGGTGAAAACGTGGGGCAACAGGAGGGGATGGAGAGGGTGGGAGAAGTGGGGGTGAACCTGACCCCATCCCAGTTGTGTTTTTGTTACTGGTGAAAACGTGGGGCAACAGGAGGGGATGGAGAGGGTGGGAGAGGTGGGACAGTTGTGTTTTCTTACTGGTGAAAACGTGGGGCAACGGGAGGGGAAGGAAAGGGTGGGAGAGGTGGGGGTGAACCCGACCCCATCCGAGTTGTGTTTTTCTTACTGGTGAAAACGTGGGGCAACAGGAGGAGAAGGAAAGGGTGGGAGAAATGGGGGTGAACCTGACCCCATCCCAGTTGTGTTTTCTTACTGGTGAAAACATGGGGCAACGGGAGGGGAAGGAAAGGGTGGGAGAGGTGGGGGTGAACCCGACCCCATCCCAGTTGCGTTTTTCTTACTGGTGAAAACGTGGGGCAACGTGAGCAGCACGGAGAGCCGCACCTTGATGGAGAAGGCCATCCCCAAACCCAGCGCTGCGCCCAGCACGGCGCTGCTCAGCAGGCAGAACCAAGCGTTGGCGTTTTGCACCAGCAGCACCAAAGCGCCGTAAAACGTGGCCAGGCTCAAACCCAGGATGAAACCAGCCGTGCTTCGAACCGCCCGCTGAGCCCAGCTCAGCTCCTCCGTCCTCCCGCCCCACAACCAACCCTTCAACTTCTCCATTTCGGACTCGGCGTCTCCGGGTGCGGAATTCGGTATCCGTGGCACCGCGCCTGGGTTCCGCGCTCGGCACCCATGGAGGCAGGCGGGAGGCAGAAGCCCCACAACACGAGTGAGACCCCAACCCCAACATCAAACCCGTAGCCC